CAGCCTCTCAGGAAGGCTTGGTAAATAGAACATCACTCAGGTGACACAAAATCCCCTCCCCACCCAGGAGGCTAGCTTCAAGGACTTGCTCTGTAAGGACTTTCACTAGTCATAAAGCCCGCCCTGGGCACAGGGCCATCATCTCTCAAGTTAGCAGCTGCCTCCATGGTCGTCAACAGTTCAGCTTCCCGACCTTTCAGGAGCTCGAGGTGGACGGAGAAGGGAGGCAGTCTCCCCCACTTCCGTACTCTCCTCTGGATTGACTGGAGATTACTACAAGGAAGCCCTGAGCGGCCAGGTCCGTAGGTGAGGACAGGGTCCCTCTGCCTTCTAACTGAGCACATCCTCCAGCCCCTTAGCTGTTTCATTCGTTAAAGAGAGACCCCGCACCCCCCACGTCCTCTGATGGTTGCTGGACACGGCTGTCCAGTTCCTTGATCTCGCTCTTAGTCTGGTGCCAGGGCGCGGGATGAGGACTGACATTGAGCTACTTTTCCTGCTTCCTCTGCCCAGAGACAGCTCCGAAAACCCCAGCCAGCCATAGCGACCTGAATGTGAATAAAAGGGAGACTCCCCCCCTCACCCCCACACCCTATTAATATTTAATGCAAACATCTGAATGCAGATTGACTTCACTTTTTATTCTCTTGCCTCCACACCCCTCTCTAATGTACAGGCTTTTCATCCAAGACAGCAGTGGTCCTTCATCCGCTAGAAACGGGAGCGAGGGTCAGAGGGGCGAGGGACTAACCGAGCGGCACGTGGTTGGAGCAGATCCTACAGTTTCCAAACTCTGTGTTTCCAGGACTTTTCCCAATGAGAGTCTATATCAGAGGCATTTATACTGTACAGAGGGTCACAGTGACTTGCTCAACTTGCGGGAGGAATTTTGCCAACAGGGATAGAATATTATTAGCCTGGAAGCCCCTGAAAAATGATCTACTCCTCAAGCTACAAACCCTCTTTTTCTACAGCTAAGGAAAAAGCAGACTGATGGTTCAACCGGCAGCTCTGTTCCCATTTGTCCACAATCTATGAACCTGGCTACTTCCTGGTTTATGTTGCAAGATTGAGGTGCAGAGGTTGAAGGGGGCGGTTAAATTTTAAAATGGGATCAAGCAAGGCAAAAGTGGTTAGAAAAATAGTCCCTTGGTTGGGATGGCAAAGGGTTAAAGTGAGCATCTGAGGAATAAGAAAATTGAACAGATCTGGGGAATTTATGGAGTTGTTTAAGTTTCTGCTGAGAAAGCGGGGCTAGTACAGAGTCTGCGCACTGTAAGGGTATTGTAAATAGAAGTCCTGAGAGGTAGCTATGATTTTTGCAGAGAGTAATGACGATTCCAGCAAACGTCTATTTACTATTGGGTACATTTCAATTTTTGTCTGTGTTTACACACAAACATCTAGCCAGTGGCCGTGAGAGCTGGTCCTCTCCCGTGTGAGAGGGGTATGTTGCATACACCATGCAAAGGACCAGGCTGGAGAACAAGTCCATGAACACAGGGTTTCCTAAACCCTCCCAAGACATCTGCCAAGACAAAGATGCTGTAATTCTTTGGAAATTGCATTCTAGATTTATAGGGAATATGTATAATTCAGAACAAAGGGATTTAAAAAAAAAAAAACCTAGTGGCTAAACAGTGAATCTAAGTTTACACAGTGAGTCAGGGGTACAGCCATGGACAGAGCCACTTCCCCTCCACCAGACTCCCTGCTCCCCCTGGGCCACTCTGCCTGTGATCAGGATGTGTTCACCCATTATGATGGCAGGAGTTCACAGGACACAGTGATGACTGACCGAGGTGACCCTGGACTCACGATGGTGGGTTTTACTCCTCCCGCTGTCCAGTGACATCATCCTGATGTCCAGTGACATCAGGCTAGGGGAAGAAAGCAGAGGGAAGAGGGACCAGGCAGGTGAAGGAGAAAAACAGGGCACAGTTGCAGGGAGTTGGTCTCCGATTGTTGGATCTAGAAATTAATCGCAAAAACCTCAACTAGAAAGTATAATTAGTAGCGAAGCCTACTTCAAGCAAAAAGGAACTTAATTTACATTCTTTTCTTTTCATATTTTTTTCAGTTGTAGAGGGACACAATACCTTTATTTTATTTATTTTACATGGTGCTGAGGGTCAAACCCAATGCCTCACATGTGCGAGCTAAGCCCGCTACCCCTGAGCTATGACCCCAGCCCCTTTATATTCTTGATACTTGTTTAATAGGAAGAAAGAGAGTAAAACTCAAAACACCTCGACTGTAACCATAGAAGATGTTGAAAAGTAAGATGTATAATGGTATCAGGGAGGGTGGCTGCTGTTTCTTTCCCTCTCTGAGAGCCAGGCTTGGCTAAAGTGGTACCTGACTCAAGTGTTGAGAGCCATGGAAACAACCAACAAATGCCATCTTCTGCAGTTTACAGCTTGGTGCTATTGGAAGGCAGTGGAACTCTAAGAGATGGGGCCTGCTGGGAGGTGTTCAAGTCATTGAGGGTGTGATTGTGGGAATTCAGTCCCTTCCTGACTTTCCCTCTTCCCAGCCATCGTGAGGCAAGATTTGCTCTGCCACTCCCTCCCCATCATGCTGCCTCACCACGGGTCCAAGAGCAACAGAGCCAATCAATCATGAAATGAAACCTCTAAAACATGTAAACCCAAACAAACCCTTCCTCTTTATAAGTTGATTATCTCAGGTATTTTGTTAGAGTACTGGAAAACTGACCAACACACCAGCCTTTGACAGGGGACTGTTTGTTCTACAGTGTCAGCTGAATCACAGTGGGTGCACTCAATATTATTTGGAACTCTGCCTTATCAAAGACTTGCATATTTTTCCACAGGGTTGCTGGAAGGCTTCATGGAGAATTTTACCTTTCTCATGTGAAAATAGTGTGAGAGATACAAAAATAACAATCATGAAAATAACTGTCAAGAAGGAAGAAGAATGGGCCTCCCATGCAGTTGGGAACACCTATCCAACATTATGTATGTTAGGAATACTCAAGGTATTTTTTAGGAAAAATTCAAGCAGTTTCTTTTTGGCTGAGAGAGGTCACAAGACAGTGGTATTTTCAATCAGAGGCACTTCTGAATATGGAGGGGGTGGGTGACAAGGATGTATAGTTTGCATATTTAGCAGCAGCAGATACAAAAGATTAAAAAGCAAACAAACAAGAATCTCACTGATTGAAATCTGCTCATGCTATAGTCAGCTCCTTAGAGAGCTTGTGAGAAGTAGGGGGATCTCAGGCCTCACCAGGACCTGGAGAATCAGGATGCATGTTTTGTCAGGATCCCCAGGGGATTCTTAGGCACATCAAAGTCGGAGAACTTTGAAAGGCTCTTTTCTATGTATCAGCAAACACATTTAGCCCAAACCCACCACAGTGTATTGGAAAAGAAATTTCATATCCAACAAGAATATTGGGATGTTGGAGGAATAGTTAACAAGAGCCACTCCACTTTTTCCCAAGTAATCTTTTTTGGTTTTGGCACTGGGGATTGAACCAAAGGGTGCTTAGACCCTGAGACACATCCTGTCCTCCGCTTTTTTATGTTGTACACAGTGCTCAATATTTCAATAACTTTGTGCTCGTTTTCATGAAGAATTCTATGTGAAGTTTGCTACTATTGCTTAAATTATGGGATTTGACTTTTGGCCCAGTTTTTCTTAACTATCCTGAGCATCTATGCCTTGAATCTCTTCCAATATAGGACACATCTACACACGTTCGCAGATGTATCATCACTAGGATTTGTTTTTGCCACTTGTTACTTTGTGATCCCGTCTTGCATTTGTTAATGGAATCCACCCAAGAATATTTTTATGGCTGTTCCAAGGATGACCCATCCTGGCTTGGGGTGGCTTAGCTTACAGGTCTCCTTCCTTATTTGGGTGGGCGGAGAGAACACGTCTAATTCTTCACTTTTATAAATACAGATTTGGTGAATATGATTGCACAAAGCCCCGATTTTACCTGGGATATATTTCCCCAAAGAAATAAGGTACAATTCCCAACTTCAGGGATCTTTTGAGACCGTGTGGGAGACCAAGATGAGTCTGACCAATGGCTGTGGGGACATGGCGGTCTTGCCAGGTGAGCGTCTACAAAGTGGAACCTAAAAGGATGAGTTAGCCTGGCATGGAGAGCAGAGGAAGGAGCCAGTGTCCAGCACTCAGTGGGAGGGTGTGGAGAACATTCTAGAAATTTGGGGTGGTCAAGGCAATGAAGACACATGGCTAGAGAGAAAGGAGAGGGTTGCCTCAAGGCTTCCATAAACTAGGGTGTGTACAGAGGAGAAATTCCAGGTAGCTATTAAAAGTTCTGTTCACAGAGATTTTTATGATATTCAGTGAAACAATTCATTCAGTGAAACAATTTCTTGCATATCTGCTAAGCACTGTAGATATTCCTGATCATATGCCCTAATGACACTAGAAAATTTCTCTGGGTGAAAACAGTAAAGACAAAGGAAAAAAAAAACTTTATCCATGTAGATTCTCTATAATCCCAAATCACAGAAAAAAGACTGAATGAAAATGCACTAAAATATGTATTGAAGTTTTTCTTTAAAAGATGGGTTATATTCTTATTTTTCTTTGTATTTTTCTGTTTTCTAGATCACATTTTTATCCATGTTTTATATTTCCCTTTTTTTAGGAATCAAGATTATTTTAAAATTTTGGGCCGGACCCGGTGGCACACTCCTGAAATCTCAGCTTCTAGGAAGGCTGAGGCAGGAGGATCACAAGTTCAAAGCCAGTCTCAGCAATAAGTAAGGCACTAAGCAACTCAGTGAGACCCTGTCTCTAAATAAAATTCAAAATAGGGCTGGGGATGTGGCTCAGTGGTCATGTGCCCCTGGTACCAAAAAAAAAAAAAAATGAGGGCTTAAGATAATATTTCTTTTGTAAAGGAAGAAAGCACCCAATAACACTCAGGAAGCACTAATGCCTATGTTGTTCAAATTTTTCATCATACATTTTATTCACAGATAACCTACCAAACTATCTTCAAGATGACCCCAGCCTGTATCTGTAGTTCCAGCTACTGGAGGCTGAGGCAGGAGGATGGCTTGAGTCCAGGAGTTTGAGGCCAGCTTGAGCAACACAGCAAGACCCTGTCTCAAGAAAAATAAATAAAAATTAAAAGTCTAAAAAGAAAACATAAAATTAAAAATACCCAAAATATGACAAAGAAACAAGTTCTTCAGCCTTTCACAGTAGTCCTAAACCCCGGGAGATTAAGCTCGACCATGGAATCACCTACACCTACTCCCCAGCCTCTGATTCCTATGCCTCACTCACCTGGCCTGCCCATGGCCTGAGCTGTCATTCACACCAGACTTTGGTATCTGCTCCACAGGTTTCTGGAGTTTTCTACCCAATGCTTAGTGAAGAATCATACTGGCTTCCACCCTCCGCCCCACCCTTGCCGCCCAGGTTCACGCTGTCGGGTTGATTGATAGCACCTGGTGATCAGCACTCCTCACCCTGCTCCTGCTTCCTGGTCTCCCCAGCTGCTTCAGAAGTAAGACACTCACCTCCACCCTTCCCGTAAGTCCCTGGTTTCTGTCTTGCTGTGCCTTTCCTTGCTGTATGCAAATGACAACTCCAAGCTGACATCATCCAGGACTCCACAGGATGTGGCAAGTTACCAGAGTTTGACATCCATTGCTAACTGTGAGATTTTTTCAATTTCCAGCTAATAGCAACATCATTGAAAGTGGGGGCCCTTAGGGAGAGGTTTATTTTTAAAGATGACAAATAATATTCACATTGAAGAAAAACAGGCATTTGATAAAATCCAGGAGACAATCCTAATTTTTTTTTAAAGAGTGACAAAAAGCTTCAAGACCAACAGACATTATATCAAACAAGGAAATAGCAAAGTGGTTTCCTTCAAATATGAACTAGGGCAAAAATGTCTTCTTCACCAAAGTTATTCAATCTACTTTGGCAAGTTCTCACGAATGCGATAAGACAAGAAAACTTAAAAAGGAATCTCACCATCGGAAGACTAATATGTTTACATATTAAAATGACTACACCTGAAAAAGGGAAAGATTCTATCTTTAAAATCTATTATAAGAACTAGGACAATTTGATAAGGTAACTACATGCAATAAATTTATGAAATTCAAAGGTTCTTATTTATGTTAGTAATAGCCAGTTTAGAAATGAAATGGTGCTGAACATGGTGATATACCCATTTAATCCCAGCGACTCAGAAGGCTGAGGCAGGAAGATCAAGAGTTCAAAGCCAGTCTGAGCAACAAAGATAGACCCTGCCTCAAAATAAATAAATAAATAAATAATTTTAAAAGGAAATTGAAAAATAATCTCAATCAACATAGTAAAAAACACAAAATATCTTTGAATCAATGTAACAAGAAATAGATACAATTTATGCAAAGTAGGCTACAAAATTTTACTAAAAGACATAAAATGTTCCTGGATGAGAAACTCAATAAAATAATATATGTCTTCTAAAAGGATATGATGATTTTTTAAAAATTCCAATTGGAATACCAAGAAAATGTCTGGGTGCTAGATAATGTTAACATTTCCATGGAAGTTACCAAAAATATTTAAAACTAAAATGATGAGAAAGCTTGCCCTTCCATACATCGACACTAATGATTAAAGCCATTGTAAACTCTGTAGAATTGCCACAGGAACAAATGGATCAGTGGAAAAGAACGGATCCCAGAAATAAGAACAAGTACCATATGATGCATTTATCATCAGTTTAAAGAGAGGAAATTGATTGCTTCATATATGCTGTTGGCATCACTGGAAACTATCTGGGAAAAAATAATTTAATTATACATATCTCCTTTCCCATCTCCTCTTTAAAAATAAATTTCAACAGAGAGTAAGGATTTTGATATCAAAAATAGGTAATAGAAGTTTTAGAATAAAATGGGGAATGGGAGAGATGCTTGCTTGAAGTAGAGAAGGTTTTAAGCAAGAGTGTCAGAAGCCAAAAACAGATCGAGAGCTTTGACTACAAGAAAAGTCATCTGTGGTGTCATGGTGTCCATATGACAAAAGATGTGGACCACTAAGTCAAAAGACAACGAATAGGCTAAAAGGAAATATTATAATGATATGGCAGCTGGAGAGCTATAAATCAATAATTTAAAGATACACCCCCCCCCCAAATATGAAAAATAATAGGCCAGTCCCAGGAAAGGAAATGTAAATGTTTAAGGTGTTCTCCCATTGCCAGCGATGGTGTGAGCTACTCAATTTTGGGAAAGTCAACAATCAATATGTATTAAAATTGGGCATACCCCAGAACCTCACTGCAAGATATCCATCCTCTAGAAGTAAAAGCTTGGGTGTTTCTATGTACAGGATTCCAGTTGTAGCATTGTTCCTGGTAGTAAAACCTGGAAGCAAGTTGCAAGTCTGTCAATCAGGGATGTCTGAATAAATGGTAGCAAATTTTCATAGGTAGTGGTACGTACCTCTTAAATGAGTTCGGTCTCTATACTGATCTGGAAACTTGTCCATGCTATACTCAAAAGTGAAAAACATTCACAAATATATGTACAGTAGCCCCCTCTAACCTCAGACCTCCAGCAGATACCTGAAACTGTAGATAGTGCCAAGCCCAGTATGGTCCACTGCTTTTTTATTCCTATCCACACCCACACCTATGATAAAGCTTAATTTCTAAATTAGGCACAGTGAGAGATTAAAAATAGCAATAAGACAATTATAGCAACATACTGTAATGAAAGGTATGTGAATATAGTCACTCTCTTTTTCTCCCCCCAAATCATCTCCTTATACTGAACTCACTCTTCTTCTCCCTGTGACGGTGTGAGATGATGCGATGCCCTCGTGATAAGATGCACTGAAGGGAAAGACCCAGACATGGAGACATAGCGTAGGCTACTGTGGACCTTCTGATGACAGGCCAGGACAAGGATGCCTATTGACCATGGGTAACTGAAACCCAGAAGCAACGGCAGCTGTACGATGACTCCAGATCTCTAAAGCAAAACCACCTGCTATGCAATTCATAAAATATTTCTATAAAATAAGAATACAGAGGGTTCATGTGCAATTCCATGATTATGGGTTTGGGAGAGTGGGGAGAAACCAGGAGGGATAGGAGGGGTTGAAGTACTTTTTATTTGCTGTTCTGTGTTGTTTTGTTTCAACCTACCTGGGAGGCTCTTATAATTTTTGGAAAAATTATAAACATTATTTTTTTAAAAAAATAATTTCTAAAAAAATTATAGAATTATTACTTTTGAAAAAATTTTTCTTCCAGGGATTGAACCCAGGAGTGCCTAACCACTGAGCCACAATAAATTAACTTATTTTTATTTTGAGACAGGGTCTCTCCAAGTTGCTTAGGACCTCGTTATGTTGCTAAGGGTGGCTTTCAACCTGCAGATCTTCTGCCTCAGCCTCCTGAGCCACTGGGATTAAAAGTATGCACCACCACACCCTGCAAAAACATATATTTTAAAAAAACATATAAAAGGCTTTAAAAAAAAGTGTGTACTTGTAGAAAGAACACTGTGTGTTTCTTATGCCCATAATCCAAAGCAGAAGCATGTACAGAAGAGGGGAAACCCAGCCTCAGCTGTGCATGTGGGGAGAGGGAGGGAGGAAGGAATGCTTCCGTTGGGTTTCAGGGCAGACATCCACAGGCTGCCCAAAAGGTGCCATCAACCCACCAAGTCACCAGGCCTAGTCACACAAGCAGCACCTCCCCATGTCATCTCTCCTGCTTGGGAGCAGAACAAAAGTCCTAAGACCCGTGTCAGGTCTAGTTCTCCACTCCAAGGTCACAATGCTGATCCCTGTGCCCTTGACCCTGGGGCCTACCTATCCCTTAACCTGTCTCTTTAAAGAGAAATTATATCTCAGCCTCTTATAAACTCAAACTTGTGTTATGAAGTTCCTTTTAAGAAAGGAATAACAAATATGCTAGGATCCAGTAACATTTTGCCTACCCAGTGCTGTGCACTGGTTAATGACCTTCAGCTTACCCTTGACTGCCTTCCTGAGGAATCACCCGTTCGCCTGCTGCATACTTGGCTAATCATAAACTAAGGAAAGTGGTCAAATTCACAATAGTGCTTGTTTAAAAACAAAATTTTTTTTTTTTGGGGGGGATTACAGCTTATCTCACACCCCATTTGATTATTCATTTGTTGAATTAAATTAAAGAGGAATTTGAGAGATGCACAAAGAGAGGAGATTTTTACTGGAGACTTCCATCTGGGGAGCAGATTTACGAGGCCTTTTTGAGACCCAGAATAACTTTCCTGTGATGAAACACAAGGCAGAACTAGCCCACCAAACCGAGTGTGTGGGGCCCCAGGGAAGCCAAAACGCAGAAAGATCCCCAGAGAGAAAGCCCCGTGGGGTTTGGGGCATCATGGTTGAGACCCAAATAAAGCCAAACGTTTTACAATGAGTTCGTAGAACTGGGTTATTCTTTAGGTGCTGGGTGTCTTGTGGGGTGGGGGGATTATTTTGGTTTTTTGGTTTTTTAATCCTATGACTTCTTAACCAGGCATCTGGGCAGGACATTGAAAGCTCAATTTGAAATACAGGGAAGGAAGTGACAGAGGGTGATGGCGCAGGGCAGGTGCCAGTCTCAAGTGAACATGTGCAGAATGTTTTAAAGACACAGATGAGCTGGCAGAGCCCCAGCATCAAGCCAGAGTGGGTCACTCCACCCTCCACAGCCTCCCCTCCAAACCACATGTCGGCCAGTAAACAGATCAACTGCTCAGTGTGCCCTGAAATGGGATTACAAAAGGGTGCTTTAACAGCAAGATTCCTGCAAAAAGAAAAATAACTTGTCCTACAAGTTGATTGTCAGCAACATTTTCCAATCTTTTTTTTTTTTTTCGCTTTGCTATAGAATACAGAATATTAAAAGAGTACCCCCAAAGGGCTACTCTGCGAGAATGGAAAGAGTTTTACTCATCAGTGCTAAAGATGACACAGGACATAAAAATGAGCAAGACTGAAGCAGGGACTTGAACAGATATTTGCACACTCATGTTCGTGACAGCATTACTCACAAGAGCCAAAAGATGCACTGGTAGGTGAATGAAGAACATGTGGTAGAGGCGAGGCGGGGTGTACCAGCAGCTCAGGAGGCTAAGGCAGGAGGATGGTGAGTTCAAAGCCATCCTCAGCAACAGCAAGGCACTGAGCAACTCAATGAGACCCTCTTAGTAAAATACAAAATAGGGCTGGGGATGAGGCTCAGTGGTCAAGTACCCTGAGTTCAATCCCCAGTACCAAAAAAAAAAAAGGAGAAGAAAAAGAAAGTGTAGTGTGCAGTATATACATGTGCTGGATCTTAGCCTCTTTGAGAAAGGAAATTCTGACACCATGCCATGGCATGGATGAACCAGGGGGGCATTATGCTAAGTTAAGTCAGCCAGACACAAAAGACAGCTACTGTATGATTCTACTTGCCTGGGTACCTCCTGCCATCCAATTCAGAGAGATGGTAGCCAGGGGTTGGGGGAGAAGGAATGAAAAATTAATGTTTAATGGATACAGTTTCAGTCTGAGGTGATGATAAAGTTCTGGAGATGGAGGGTGTTGATGGTTGTACATGAATTACCTAATGCCACTGAACTGGGCACTTTAAATGGTTAGGATGACACAATTCAAGTTATATATATATTTGCCACAACGAAACAAAAAGCAATTGAGGTCACATTGTGCATGAATTCACCTGGCCCCACTTGAGCATCGATTCCTTTAGAAGCACAAACACAATCAAAGCCACGCGTGAGAATCCGGGATGGACACTCTGCTTCAGGCCTCGGAAGTTGGCTCAGTGGCTGAGCGCTCATCCAGCATGGGAGGCCCTGGGTTCCATCCTCAGCACCACAGAAGAATCTGATTCAGGTGTTGCTCACGTGCTGTCAAATATCTCAATAAAAAGGAAAGAAAGAAAGTATACTCAATTCTTTAAATGGTTCCCTCCCCAAGTTTGAAGTCCTGAAGATAGAATACATACTTCAAAAATCTGATTTGCTTCTGCGCTAATCTGATTTCCAGACTCTCATCATTTTAGCCTATGGCCAAAAACACACTTGCAAATAATCAATTTAAATGTTTTCAAGGCAGCAAGTACACGCCATCTTAAATGTAACCTTGAACCCACTTACCTGCAGAAGACACTGAGCCACTTTGGTCAGAGAGAACAGGCCAAATGCAGACAGCTTTCCTTCTGCCAAGAGAGAAAAACTCAAGAGTCTGAGAGAGGAAGAGTGGTCCCTGGTGACTGGATAAGTCAAAGTTAAATATAAATCCAGTTCTCTTTAAGTTGCAGGTCACAAAAAAAAAAAATTATATGGCAATGTGTGATAATCTTGGGCAAGAGCAATTTTCTAAAGTTTATAGTTTCAAACTTTGAATTGGAGAAATACATTCATCCCTTGGTATCAGCCCCATGGATACCAAAATCTGAAGATGCTCGAGTTCCTTATAGAAATTAGCATAATATTTGCATAGAATCTATACAAATCATCTCTAGATGACTTATAAAACCTGATACCCTATAAATGCTATGTTGATAGTTGTCATATTGTATCATTTAGAAAAAAGGCTAGAACAGTTCTCTGCATGTTTAGTACAGATACAACTATTTTTCGAACATCTTTGATCCACAGTTGGTTGAACCCACAGATGTGGGACCTGCAGATACGTAAGGATGACTGTGATCTTAAATTCAAAGGTTAAGTTCTCAACAGCTGGGGGCTGGGGAAGGAAGGCTGTATTCTCCCTCTCCCAGCTCCTTCGCAGAAGTCCTGCAGAGGATGGAGAGCCAGGTTTCAACTGAAGCCAATGTGTGTACATCTTCAATCATCTCTAGTAATTATCATATTCTGCACCCCATCAGAAGATCTTTCTCAGGGTAGCTTCATAAAGATTTATGAAGAAACATGTTAAATACATCTGAAGAATCCCTAATGATCAGTCAATATTATTAATATTAGCCTTTTTTTTTTTTTAAGCTCCTAAACAACATACTTTTGAGGGAAGCCAGCTCTGGTTAGGGCCTAGAATCCTTTTTGCATCCTTTCAAATCTGCCTCTTTAAGATCCCTTCCACCCACAGTGCACATAGAACCTGGGGCTCGGCTCACGTATTCACTCACGGGTGATTTGGGGAAGCAGGTGCTGGGAATCAAACCCAGAGCCTCACACGTGCTAAGCACCAGCTCTGCCACTAGGCCACACCTCCAGCCTCCACAGGTGAGATCTGCAGTGTCATCTAAGGGCAAGTGAGCTGGGTCCGGGTCACCTGCTGCCGGCAGAAGCAGTGGGAGCCGGCAAGGAACAGACTTACTTCACAGGCCTGCAGCTGGGCCAGCCCCTCGTCCAGCAGTCAGAAGACCCCTTATCTGCTCTGAGCCGAGCTGGCCACCAGGCCTCCTCTGTGTGGAGAGAGGAAGGCCCTGGGAGCTCGTCCACTCGCTATTTTCCAGCCGTAGCTCATATCGCCTTTACACCCTTGAGTGACTTGGAAGTAAACCAAGCCAAAAGGAACATGGGCAGAACCTCAGAGGTTGTTCTTGCCCCTTTGAATCCAGAGCTGAGCTCAGGGGATCAGAAGCCAGAAAACCTGGGAAGGCAACTTGGGGTCATGGTAACAAGCACAAACATGCAAGTTAGCAAGATATGGCTGTAAATACTGGCCGTGTCACTTAACAGCCCCGTGTCCTTGGTAAAGGAACCCAGACCTCTCTGGGTCTGGGTTTCCTCAATCTATAAAACAGAAAAGGAAAAAAAGAGCTCATAGGATTTTGCAAAAATGAGCTGAGGCAAAGCACACGGCCCAAGACCAAACATCTAGTAATTGCTCAGTAAATAATAATGGATAATGTCAGAAGAGGAAGGCTCAGATTTTCTGCTCACAGCATGAATGTGGGCGTTTGCTCTCTGAAAGGTACTGTGCTAAAAGTTTTAGATATAAACAATCTCAACTCTCAAGGAAATTGTATGAGGTGTCCTTTTTGTTCATGAGAAGGCCAAGGCTTACAGAGGTCAGGTAGCCTACCAAAGACCACAGGTAGAGCAGCGAGCACAACCAGTAGCTGAAACCACTGTCCTGTTCCACCTGAGGCAAGGCATTTAATCCTCACTGTCACATGAGTATATAATGACAGTGCTCACTTGACCTTCAAGTGCAAGGGTTAAGTGATCTGATGGATGAGGAAGGCAGGTCTCTGGCAAAAGAGGAACAAATGCAAGGTGAAGTCCTTACTAACATAGATGAACCCTACGTAAATAACCGCCGTCTAGCAGGGAAGACAGACAAGAACACATGTCACTATAACTGCGTGTAGGGAGGCTCCACCATTTGAGCGATACCAATTAATCAAAAACAAAGGGAGATCTAGGCACCGTGGCTCCTGCCTGTAATCCCAGCTACTCAGGAGGCTGAGATAGGAGGATTGCAAGCTGGAGGTCAGCCTCAGCAATTTAGCAAGACTCTGTCTCAAAATAAAAGTAAAAAGGCTAGGATGAAGCTCAGAGGTAGATCACGCTTGGGTTTGATCCCCAGAACTGTAGAAAACAAAGGGAGATTAACATAATTGCTTTGCCTGTTAGCCTCCGTAAATGAACAGAGAAGCAGCTGTAACTTCCTGACATCAAATATGTTCTTTGTCTTTTGTCTTGAATTAAATTTTTATAACTTAATCGAGGTATATAAAATAGGCAAATAAAATTATACACATTTAAAGAATGGACATTTAAGAATCACAATGTGACTCTTTGATACATATCAGCCCTCCTTCCTCCTTATCCATGGGCTCTGCATTCCCAGACTGAACCATCCTCAGATGAAGAATATATTTTTAAAGTGGATCCATATTGAACACGTGCAAATTTTTTTTCTTATTGCTATTCCCTAAACAACGCTGTATAACAACTATTGACATGGCATTCACGTTGTATTGCGTATTATAAGTCATCCAGGAGGATGCACATAGGTTCTATGCAAATACTATGCCATTTTCCTAGGAGAAACTTGAGCATCTGAGGATTTTGACATCCACAGGGTGGGGAGGGAGGGGTACTGTAGGCCATCATCTGTGTGTGTACCAAGGATGACTGTACAAGTCATTACAAAATGATTACCACAATCAAGCTATTTAACACATCCATCATCTCACATAGTTATCACTTTGTGGTAAGAACACTTAAGATCTACCATCTTAGTCAACTTCAAGGATACAATGCAGCATTATTAACTATAGTCACCACAGAGGACATTAGGTCTCTAAGACATATTCATCTTACAGTTGAGATTTTGTACCCTTCACCAACATCTCCGCATTTCCCACCACTCTACCTCTGGTCACCAACCCATTTATTCTCTGCCTTCGTTTGTTCGACTTTTTAGATTCCACATACACGTGGGACCATGTGCTGAGAGCCACGGCCGAGTCTGTATGGCCCCTGGCATTTTGCCAACAGTATTGATTGACAGGCGAGGCATTACTATCCGCCTCTGCCGCAACTTTTGAGTTCTCGCACTATTTTGGAGTTCTCGTGGGGATTTCCGGGGATTCCCCGAGAGTTCCCATTGGTTGGGGAAGTGCAGGAGGAGGGATTTCCGGGAGAGATATTTCCGGCTGGGGCTTCCTGGACAAGCCTCCTGGCGCGTTCGGGAGGATTCCCCGGGAGCTGTGTGAAGTGTTTTCCTGCAGTTTAAAAATAAAGTTTGTTCCTGCTTCAGTGGCTCGTGATTTGTGCCCAGCCAGACTGCGGCATTTGGTGGCCCGTACAGGGGACGTCTGAAGCTTCGGGGTAAGTGAAATTGCTTGCCCCTAAGGGAAGGCGAGAGAATGGGTGACCATTTTAAAAAACAATGTGTTCTTGTTTTGATTTGTTTTGTGTTTGTTTCAAGCTGCCTATCCCTAGAATTTTCTCAGGCAGATTGGGAAAAATGGTTGGCTCAAGGTTTGAAGTTGTTCGCCCCTGAGGAAGAGATAGAAATAGACCACAAATGCACATGTCAAGAAAATAGGAAAATTGATACAACGATTTTTTGTTCCATTTTTGTTTCATTCTGTTTCGGTTTTGTTTTGTGTTATCTTACTGGGTTGTGTTATCTTTATAACAGATTAGAAATTAGTAAAAAACAAACTGAAAGAGTGTTAAGTAAATTGTTAGAGGTTCAGACCATGGAGAAAGACATTTTAGATCAAGCAAAAGAGAAGGTCTCTCAAGCTAGTCAGACAGAGGAAGAAAATTTAAAGGAAGAAAGCTTAGAGGAGAAACAGCTATTAGGGAAAAAGCTACAACAGGAGGCTGCTACTAACACCGTTCTATCACCAGAGGGCGTAATTCAACCAACAGCTCCCCCTATGGAGATAGCTGAGTGGCCCTCAAACCCCGTAGTTGATAGATGGGATCCTGAGACAGGACCTCAAAGATTAGCATGCCCTGTACTTTAGCAGGCAGGAGGGCAGCGAATTCACCGTGCTTTAGATTTCAAAACAGTGAAGCAGTTAAAGGAGGCTGTAACAACCTATGGTCCTCAAGCACCGTTCACTGTAAGCATGGTCGAATCCATTACCAACTTGGACATGACGCCAGCAGATTGGGCTAGTATGTGTAAATCTGTGCTAAATGGAGGACAATATTTGTTATGGAAGGTTGCCAATGAGGAATTTTGCAGGGAGACAGCTAGACGAAATGCAGCAGCCGGTTACCCTCAAAGAAATCTAGATATGTTGTTAGGAAAAGGACCTTATGAGGGTCAATGGCAACAAATTGAATATGATCCTGGTGTATACGCACAAATTGCTGTAGATGCGGTTAGGGCATGGAAAACTTTACAGGGGCATGGAGGTTTACAAGGTCAATTATCTAAGGTAATACAAGGAACTAATGAACCTTACGCTGAATTTGTAGATAGGCTTATTCAAGCAGCTTCCAGAATTTTTGGGGATACAAAACAGGCAATGCCATTTATAAAACAACTGGCTTATGACCAAGCAAATCGTTGTTGCAGAGAGGTCATTAGACCATGGAGACATGAAGATTTAAACACATATATTAAATTATGTAGAGACATTAATGAACAAGGGCAAGTCTTAGCAGCAGTACAACAGGCTTTAGATGCCAGGCCAAAAACATGCTATAATTGTGATCAAACAGGACATTTTAAAAGGAGTTGCCCCATAGGAGGAGGGTTTAACAAAGCTAGATATCA